TGATTATGCTAATTGGAGTTGGAACATAAACTCATTAAACCATTCATTGCTCACATAACTAGTCCCAGCCAGGGAGAGGAAAGTGGCCTGTTACAAAACAGGTTTGTGATGTCAACAATGATGCAGTCTGTTTGAATACCAAAGGTCAGCATCTGGGCTTCCAAATGCAACTCCGTAGTCCAAATTCGGGAAGACTGCTTCTTCCAACTGCAGTAGAAAAGGCACGCAGGATTCAGTATAGGCCTGACGGAGGAAAAGTAAAATCAGCAAAACGGGTTGCTGTAAATGCCAGAGGTAATTAAACCATAGGGGGTAGTTTTAAAACCCTTTTTAAAAAACACAGTTGTGTCTCATCTTGCAAAGTGACTTTTGTACAGATTGAGCAGCTGATTTTCTCTTGTTAAAATAAACGAACTAAGGTCAGGGGAAAAGGTTTTCTCCACATTGGCTTATTGGGCTAAGATCTGATCATCTATTTGAGGCCAAGAGCCTTTTAGTAGCAGTGACTTTCAAGGGCTGCTTTTTGTAGATACCCAAGTCAAAGACCTTGTTCCAGACCCGGCCTGGCATGTCCCTCTCTGGGAGAATGAATAGAATAGAATAGAATAGAATAGAATAGAATAGAATAGAATAGAAAATATGGAATAGAATAGAATAGAATAGAATAGAATAGAATAGAATAGAATAGAATAGAATAGAAAGAAAATATGGAATAGAATAGAATAGAATAGAATAGAATAGAATAGAATAGAAAGAAAATATGGAATAGAATAGAATAGAATAGAAAGAAAATATGGAATAGAATAGAATAGAAAGAAAATATGGAATAGAATAGAATAGAATAGAATAGAAAGAAAATATGGAATAGAATAGAATAGAATAGAATAGAATAGAATAGAAAGAAAATATGGAATAGAATAGAATAGAATAGAAAATATGGACTAGAATAGAATAGAAAATATGGAATAGAATAGAATAGAATAGAAAATATGGACTAGAATAGAATAGAATAGAAAATATGGACTAGAATAGAATAGAAAATATGGACTAGAATAGAATATAGAAAATATGGACTAGAATAGAATATAGAAAATATGGACTAGAATAGAATAGAAAATATGGACTAGAATAGAATATAGAAAATATGGACTAGAATAGAATAGAAAATATGGACTAGAATAGAATATAGAAAATA